GGGGGGGGGCTCAATGGTTTTCTAGTTACGCCTCTGACCTCTGTGCTTGAAAATGTTAAAAACTCTTAGCTATAGCTGTGGTTTAATGTATTTGTCTTTACTCTTTACCCTAAAGTCCATTTAAAACTACATTCCATTTAAGACCACAGGGTGATAATGCTGGTGAGAAATTGCATTGCAAAAGGAATAGCATTGTTACACTATTATAGAAACAGGAAATAACAGTGTCCTGGATCAGCAAGTAATACAACTATTTTACAGGGGATAACTCAAAAAAAATAAAAAAAAATGGTTTGCTTATGTATAATATATCTGATTTCTTATTTTGCCCATACTTACATTTTTATGTACTTCCTGTTTTATTTAGGTTAGAATTGCCATTTAAACCTTAGAGTCTAAAGTGATGGTCGGTTGGATCATAAAGTCATCTGTGTGCAGTAAACTGTCTCACACAAAAATAAAATATTATCTTCTTCTGTCATCCTTCTATTTCCACATTTTTCTGGAATATATATATGTTCCTGCAATCCACCTAGATCAGTTTATCACTCGCTCTGTATACTCTATTGCACATTAGTGCAGTAACAGGTATGCTATTACATATTACCACTATTAGTTTACTTCCTAGAAATAAATGATGGAGTTAATTTTCTTGTTAGTTCCTATTGTTACTTCATCTTTACTATTTTATGTAACAAAACAGTTTCCTACTGAAACATCATCATCGTTTGCTTTTCCAGATACTACATAATCGCTTTCGGTCTGATGGCCCCTTACCTTCTTCTCAAGGCTATAGGATTTTTCCTTCTTGTGATAGTTGGGATACCAGGAAACACCTTCATCATTCTCCAATTTACCTACATCAAAAGTAAAGAGAAAAAACATGTTCCAAGCAACATAATATTGTCAGTACTGGCTTTAGCAAATGTACTTGTCATCTTCTCACGCATCATTCCACAGTCCTTGAATGCAATAGGAGTAGAAAACTTGCTTGATGACATAGAGTGCAAATTTGTTATATATACATACAGAGTAAGCAGGGCTATGTCTATTTGTGTCACTAGTTTGCTTAGCTGCTACCAGTGTATTCTCATTGCTCCAACAACTAGAGTTTGGGTTTATTTGAAGAGTAAAGTAACCAAAAACATTATGGGCATTATCATTATTTTGTGGATTATAAACTTCTCCATTTACCCTTATTGTTTTTTGAGTACTAATGCAAAGAAAAATGTAACAAATTCACCATATACTCTGCATTTGGTATATTGTGATTCTGACTTTTTGACTTATACAGCATATATTGTCAATGGAATATTTTACACTATCCGTGATGTTATATTTGTAGGACTAATGACATTAGCAAGCAGTTACATGGTGTTCATCCTTCTTAGTCATGAGAAAAATGTGAAAGCAATTAGAAGCTCTAACAAAGAGCAAAAGTTGTCAGCTGAGATCAAAGCTTCAAGAGCTGTCATATTATTAGTTGTTCTGTATGTGTTACTGTTTGGGTTGGATAATTCCATGTGGGTCTATACACTAACTTTATCCAACGTGCCTTCTGACATGAATGATATTCGAATATTTCTATCATCCTCATATGCAGCTCTGAGTCCCATTGTCATCATACTCACCAACCCTAAGCTTCATCGCTCTTGGATACTGTCTAACAAGCACAAGTTTTCCCAAAAACACACAGGAAGCACTGGAACTGTATATTCTGTAAGTAAATACAGCTGACAAAATATCAAATAGTATTTGTAATACAGGATTATGAGTAGGGACCAGCTGGAATAAACAAAAATAAAAAGCATGTATACTGTATACAAGTTGAAGTCTGGTTCATTGCAACAACAATCACAGCTTACTTCTCTATTTCACACACCAGTATTTTAACCCTCATCACATGTGCTAGAGGCCAATGCGTGGGGTTAATTTATAAGTTGCTTTTGCTATGGAACTTTTTTAATAAACTGACTTGCTATTAAAATATGTGTTCAGCATATTTCAGAGCCATGTTAAAAATCTTTACTCGTAGGAGTATATTATATTGAACTCTTTTTTTTCTTTCATAGAAAAGGTCCTTCAAAAGACAAAACATATATTAAAAAAAAACAAACAAAAAAACAAATTAGAATATTCAAAATTGATCTGATTTGGAAATAGCTGACAGAAATCACACTTGGGGACATTTATCAATATCGTCACATCCAGTTAGTTCATTATTTGGTCATAAAGTAGAATTTAATTACAATGTGTAACTAATTTACTATTTTAGTGCTTCTTCCATTCCAGAATCAGAACCCCCTGTAACTTGTTAGTTGTAACAGGGTATTCGTAATTCACATTAGATGCACTCTAAATGGATGTCATTTATGCTAGCATAAACCCAATAATAGTTACTTACACTTGCTTTGTAGTATATTCCCACAGCTAATGCAAGCAGCACCACTGCCAATTTCTGCCTGTGTGGTCCCTGTGTGTTGTAAAGTAGCCGTCACTCCAAATTGGCTCCCATGATGGACTACAATCTTATGTTTACTTTTCTCATTTGTATTGGAATTGTAGTTTATCACAGGCGTGAGCTTGGAGTGGTGGCAACTTAACAGCACACACAGGATCCATGGGGAACAAAAGTAGCCATGCTCCAGAAGGATCAGTGTCAGCATGAACTCAGAAATGATTTGATTATCTACAGCTGAGTGATACACAAATAAGATACATTTTTGTTAATAGTTAAGGTACTTAAATACATTTTTAAGATTTAACTCCTAAGTTTAGTGTCACTTTAAAAAGTCCCCAGGAGAACGTCTTTGATGTGAGTCTACTGGTGGTACGGACCCTTAAAAAGTTCTGCACCAAATTCAGAAAAGCCCTGTCGCCAGTTTCGATATTCTTACCAACATTTCCGATAAGATTTAGGTACAACGTACTTTCCAAAGCCGACAGCTTAATGTAAACAAAGAGGCTGGTGATGCTGGCTGATATCATTATCCAAATATGGCTATATTTTAGTAAGCATGTCAACCACCATCACCCTTGTTTACATTTAGTTATGCTATGTAAGATCAATAGCAACCTGTCTATGACACCCGCCCACTGCCTGATGTCAATCAGCACCAGAGCAGATCTGATTGAGAACTCAGTTCTCAGAATTTCCCATCAGGCTCCACCCACTCAACATAAGACAAGATGTTGGTTGACATCCTTACCAAAATATGTCCATATTTGGGTAATTATATCAGCTAGTATCCTTGGTTGTTTACATTCAGCGCCCGTATGAATACCAAAACATATGGCAGGGCTTTTTTAATTTGGTGCAGGGCCTTTTAAAGGTCTATACCACCAGGAAAAGCTCCCACTGCCAGCACCACTGGTCATAAAAGCACTGTTGGTTGTACCTGTAGCAGCTTCCTTACAATAAGAAATGCCCACTGTCATTGACGTTGAGTGGCTGTAGCCTGATGGGAGATTCTGAGAAATTAGTTCCCATCAGGTCACCTCCCCTGCACTCTGCTGCTGTCACCCAGCAGCAGAGTGGACCTGATGGGGAACTCAGTTCTCAGAATTTCCCATCAGGCTCTGCCCACTGTTATTATCATTGGTCATTAAGAATGCTGTTGGCTGTAGCCAACAGTTTCCTTAATAACCAGTGACGCCAACTATCAGTAACACTGAGTTAGTGGAGCCTGATGGGGAAGCCTGATGGGGAAGTTTGACAGCTGAGTTCCCCATCAGGTCCACTCTGCTGCTTAATGATAGCAGGCAGTGGACTGGTGCCATAGCCAGCCTGCTCTTGGCTATGGCACCCACCCACTGCCTGCTATCAATCCACAGCAGACCAGATGGGAAACTCAGTTCTCAGAATTACCCATCAGGCTCCACCCATCTACAGTATAGGTCTTCTACCTCTGCACCTGCCTGTGTGATAGGTGCAGTGGCCGGGTGGAAGCTCAGTAATACTGAGCCTTTGATTTTATCGGGCTCTGTGGTGCTGAGCTGCACTGAGGACGGAGTGTCTGGTAAGAACACCTCAGCCACACTGTGCCTCTGCACCTCAAATAGCGGTGCTTGCCCCAAGTTCATGTACCTGATACATGAATCTGGTGCAAGCAAAGGCATTTGCTCTGTGGATGCACGCCATAATTCTAAAGATTGTCTAAATTATCACTCAATGTTCTGCCCTGTGTTTTTGGGTCAGTGAAGACATGAGAGCAGAGCTGTAGTTCATATCTCAAAATCTAAATCTGAGCTGTCGTTCATATCTCAAAACGTGCAAATCTAAAAAAAGCAAGTAGACTTGTTTTCTGGAGAATATCAGACTTTGGGTTCTTCAAATGTTGGTGAAATATTCAATGTTTTGCTGTGGCCTACTCTATAATATTCCCATTATTACCCTACAAGAAAAAATATTCTTGTAGCTAATGTGAGGGTGTTAGCTCGGCAGCGGGTGTTTGTGACTACCTGGATGAGTTCACACCACAAAAAAATAGGCACAGCAAGCAACGATTTCTTCGGGTGAAAACACACTCCCATGCAGCAATAAGAGAACAAGCAGCCTCTGTGTCCGCAGGCCAAAGTCGTGGTCATGGTCGTGGACATGATGCATCCTCTGCAGGAAGGGCACGCTTGTTCTTTTTATCTGGTGCTGTCCGTCTTATTCAGCCACAACATACAGAAGAGTAGACTTGTGCGCCGTCAAAACATTCGTTCTGTTTCGTTTCGGAATATCCGTTATTTCGTATTTTGTAATTCGTAACTGAACTCGATTCGGATTCGTACGAAATATGAATTTTCGTTAGTGGCGGTTATATTTTCGTAACTTTACGAACATTCCTTTTGATGAAGTTAAAAAGCAAAATACCTTTGTTAATATTGGAGTGGTAGTTGTTTTCTTATCCGAAATACGAATTCCGTTAACGGATTCCGTATTCCGAATTCCGTATTTCGAACTTTAAAAAAAACTACCATCAACTCCAATATAAATGTACTTTGCTTTTTACCTTCAATATAACGAATGTTCGTAATGGAACGAAAATACGTCAACGGAATTTCGTATTTCCTGCCTGTATATTGTAATGCAACTCTCAGCAGCAGAAGAGAACCTCTTATTGGTCAACCAAAACGAAATACGAATTCCGTTAACGGATTCCGTATTCCGAATTCCGTATTTCGGACTTTAAAAAAAAACTACCATCAACTCCAATATAAATGTACTTTGCTTTTTACCTTCAATATAACGAATGTTCGTAACAGAACGAAAATACGTCAACGGAATTTCGTATTTCCTGCCTGTGTGTGTAACTGTGTATTGTAATGCATCAGCAGCAGCGGATCCGTATCTCGGATTAAAAAAAAATCTTGTCATGTTGTTCAACCTCATTTACAGGGGTAATATTAGTTCCTGTTTCAAAGAAATTCGGATCCGAAATTCGCTAACGGAATTTCGTATTTCGGATATAATTCGGAAACTGCCATTCAGATTTCGGATGCTCCGAAATTCGGAATTTCAGGAAAATTCGTACGAATTTCGATTCGTAACGAAACAAATCGCACATGTCTACAGAAGAGGTGGTGAATTGGATAACTAAGCCATTCTCATTCTCCTCATCCTCTGTCACCCAGGCTCATACTGGTTTCTCAGTCCACCGCAGCTGCCAAAGTGACCAATTCTGCATCTTTGTCCACAGCTACTCCTGCACTAGCACCCACCATCATGCATGGAGGAGTCAGCTGAATTGTTTGAACACACCGTCAGTGACATGCTGCTGGAGGATGCACAGCAATTACAATGGTCTGATGTTGGCTCTGAGGTTGAGGAAGGGAAGGGGTGTCAATGATGAACAACAAACTGGCACTCATGTTTCCCCAGCAGCAGCATACTGCCAGGTTGGCTCCAGTGACGAGGACAGAGGGGGTGATGATGAGGCGGTCACTTACTCTACTTGGGTGCCTGATTGAACAGAGGAGGAAAGTGAGGAGGAGGCACAACCCCAACAAGGCAGGACGACCTCCAGCGGATGCCGTATGAGCAGCCACCCCATTGCATCAGAAGGCAGCGTTGTTGTCTTATAGCACACCTCCAGGAACTCAGCTGTGTGGGAGTTTTTCAGCACATGTGCAGCGGACCGCAGCATTGCTATTTGCAACTTGTGTCTCAAGTGGATCAAGCATGGCAAAAACATCAGACGCTTGGGTACCACGTGCTTGAAGAGACATCTGACCACCGGCCATGCAGCCCATTGGCAACAGCACCATAGAAAGAGCCACACTTCTCCTCGCTCCTCATCTGTCATCTCTACCCCCACTATACGTCATGCCATTTCCACAACCTCCACTGAGAGGGATGATGGTATAGCAATGGGTGTGACAGGTCCTTCCGCCAAATCTGCCAGTAGCCCACCAGCTGTAGCTTTTAGCAGTCAGATTTTGCTGCAGCGGATAAAAAAATACTGCCCCCCCCCCCCCATCCACATGCTCGGCATCAAAATGCCAGCTTAGCCAAATTGCTAGCTTTACAGCTGCTGCCTTTCCATCTGGTAGACTCTGCAACCTTCCATGAGTTTGCAGAATGTGCTTTACCACGGTGGCAGGTTCCAAAACACCACTTCTTTTCACGTAAAGCCATTGCAGCTCTGTATCCGCATATGGAAGGAAATGTTTTGGCCTCGTTGGACAAGACAGTCAGCAGCAAGGTCCAAATTACTGCTGATACGTGTCTAGCAAGCATGGTCAGTGAC